AAAAGTTCGTAAATCCTCATATTTAAAACGATAGGATTTTAGGAGACTGTTAACAAAACGCAAGTCTAAAATCAGCCGGTTCTTATCTGAGTTAGACACCACCCCAAGGGGCGATATAATACATGCTTCACTTTTCGAGACTTCCCTTATACATCCAATTTTTAATAAGCGTTTCAGCTCACCAGTCACAAAAGCCTCGTTACGTGCAACTGATTTGTGATTAGTGAACTCAGCTGCGTGTGGTTGTTCCACAAACGGTAGTGCATAACCATTACGAATAATTCCCAAAACCCAATTTGAAGCCCCAATGTTTTCCCAGAATGAAATGTTTGCTTTCAAGCGACCTTTAACGTCAGCGACCAATTGGTCATTGTCAAAACGTTTATTTAAACAAGCCAACTGTAATTCATCGATATCGTTTTTAAAATTGCTATTACTGTTAATATGACTGTCTGTTTCCGGGGATACATCCCTACTAATTGTTTTTAGCTGGGTTTGGACTTCCGATGTTGTTTTTACAAAACCGGGCAAGGTGTCCTGGACGCCCGCAGCGAAAACAATTCCCGTCACGTGCGAAACTTGTACCGCCTGATTTCTTCAGAATAATACGATTACTCGATTCCGTTCGATTCGCGTCGGTCGAGAAAACGCGTGAAGCCGTAGACGAAGTTTTTGTAAACTTCAGGGACTTTCTTTTCTCCTCTTTCAACGCCTTACCCTCTTTTATAGCGCGCCGTATGCGTTTCTCGTCCTCCGAATCGCTCGCTAAGGGCTCGTCAACATAGCACTCTACCGTTTCCCACCCGAATTTCTCTGCTAATTTTATGTGCTTATTCCTTTCACAAATAAGAGTCTTACCTTCGGTTAAAGCTTGATCGCGTTCCTCATCGTCTGACGCCTCGAGCGCAGTTTCAATCGTATTTAATACCTTACTGTTGAACTCGTATTGTGTGCGATTTCGCTTGTATTTAAAATCTGGAACTGGCGAGCGTTCCCGCTTTCGACTAACACGTTTCCCGTTTTCTTTGACCTCGCCTTCAAGCGATTTTAGGCGGCGATCAGTATCCTTATTTAGGGCCAGCAATTCCTTTGCCCAACTAGGCGCTTCGTCCCGACTTTCTTGTGACCGTGGTCTTTCTTCCGAGCGTCTCTTTGACGTTAAACGGTCCTCGCGATCACGACTATTCGAAGGTGAACGAGCTGACTCATGTTGACTATGAGTATGGCGGGAACTATGTGACTCTCTCTCGCGACGATTAGATTCCCCTGGACTGGCGTTGTGTGCTTCCAAGCGTCGAAGGGCAGCAACTCGTTTACTCCCCATCACTACCAATGTACTTCCGATTAATTTTTATGCAAATATATACGAAATAAAGGCACTGCTAAAAAATATAACTGCATACGATGTGCAAAAAACTAAAAGATGCCAAAGTCACTTATCACGTGACTTTATACAACTCATGTGACCTAACACAGGGCACCCCAGCATGAGAAACCCGTTTCTCGCTTATTTCGTAAACTCAGACAGCGAGAAACTCAAACTCCTCGCCCAAGGACGTGAATATCGTCCTTGCTGCTATTATCTTAATTAAACATATAAGATACTCACCTATTAGGCATGTATTATAGGAACAAGTTCATTAATTGGTCTATAATAGACCTTTTTCTCTCTGTCTCTTGAAATGGCAATTTTTGCCTTTCTGACCTTCCCGTCTTCGCTGAGTATCACTTCCACGACTCTACCAAGGGGCCATTGATTACGTGGGCTTTGCTCCTTCATGATGACAATATCCCCTTCTCTTAAATTTGGCTGTCGTTCGTTCCATTTTGTTCTTTTCTGCTGAGATTGAAGATATTCTCGTTTCCAACATGTCCAGAATTGATCAGCTAGATATTGTGATCTTCCCCAATGACGACGTGAATAGACATCTTCCGGTGTGAACACGCCCGGTGGTGGTAGAAGAGGTCGGGTCTTCATAGTTAACAGCATATTAGGTGTAAGTGGCTGGGGTTGATCGATATCGGATGGTACGACAACGATAGGACGCGAGTTGATTATTCCAGTAATTTCAGCCATAAGGGTAACCAATAGCTCGTGTGTCAGTTGTGGACTTCCGAGTTCCAGGAACATTGCGTCTAGTACTTGTCTAGCCGTGCCGATTTGCCTTTCCCAAACCCCACCGAAATGCGAGGCATGGGGAGGGTTAAATATCCACTCACAGTTTTGTTCCGTAACATATTTCGTGATAGCCTTCTGGTTCATCGCGCTCAGAGCTTGATCTAATTCAGATTTTCCTCCAATGAAGTTAGTACCTTGATCACATCGCAGAAGAAGTGATGGGCCGCATAAAGCGAAGAATCATCTAAGGGCACAGATAACCGAGCTCGTCTCCATCGTTTCCAACACCTCGATATGAACGGCTCTGCAATTTAAACACGTAAATATCAGTCCCCAACGTTTTGCGTTGACTGCTCCTCCTCTTAGTTTTCGTGTTTGGATAGTCCAGAGCCCGAACAGGTCGAACCCTATGTTGGTAAACGGTGGTGGCGTTTCCAATCTTTCGCGTGGTAGGTTGGCCATGTGTTGCGTTAATAGCTTCCCTTGCAATCTCCAACAAGTAACACATCACTTGATTCTCTTTGAAATCATCCGGTTTGCTCCGATTACCCATATCCCTGCTTGACGGATTTTCCCATACGTAATATGTCTGCTTTGGTGGTGGACGGTTTCGTGAAAGTGCTCAATTGCTAAATTCGCCAAGTGACAATCTCTAGGAAGGATAGCTGGATGTTTCTCTTCAAATAGTTGTTCGGCTTGTCGTAGGCGACCACCGACTCGAAGTACTCCGTTATTATCGATGAAAGGGTCGAGGCTGTATAAGCGTGACTTCTTCAATGACTTCGATTGTTGTATTATCCTAATCTCGGGAGTGAACGTATCCACTTGCGCAGTCTTCATCATCAAGTTTTCAGCTTGGTTCAGTTCCTTAGCAGAAGGATTTGTGAGAGAATGCTTTGAGGTTGGAGCGTTCGGTGGATTGCTACGGGTACGCCTAGTGTTGGGTGTTGACAAATTTCCTCCTCGCCGTCGGGCTTTAACTTGTTTTGCTTTAACAATCAAATTGGCTAGAGCTCTGCGAAGTGTAGTCCACCTTGAGAAGCGATTGAATCTTTCCGATCCCAGACTTTCAATTAGTTGAACCTCGGACAAGTAAGTTGAAACTTCGGGACGAACTTCGGGATCGTCGCTCATAATACTTGAGTTTGTGATCATTTGTCGTTGGGGAAGAGTGGTCATTTCGCAGAAATTCCGGACCATTGAACCATGAAGATGCCACGAGTCTGCGGGGTTATGGGTCGTTTCCACGTATTTCCACTGTGAAGGATCTGAAATGCTGGAAATGATCTGGACCCTGTTCGCTACGTACACGTAGAAGCGTCGGCTCTCGTTCTGAATATAGCCTAACACCACTCTGAAATCGGTGTAGAATACAGTTTCATCAATATTCAATCGCAGTTCACAAGTTATCCACTTCACTGCTTGGTCCGATAGCACTGCTGCACAAAGTTCGAGCCTTGGGATAGTCGTTGCTTGTTTTGGAGATAATCGTGCTTGTGCAAACAGAAGTGAAACATTTACTTCTCCCGTGTAGTTTTCTTGCTTAAGGAAGACCGCAGTACCGATTGCTTTATCACTGGCATCCGAGAACGCGTGAATTTCTGATCTTTTCGTTTCCCCAAATGTTTCTGGACGATAACATCTTGGGATTCGAATATCTTCTAAGTCAAATAATGAATCTCTCCAGCTGCTCCATCGATTTTGTAGTGGTTGTGGAGGAGGATCGTCCCATCCGAGAGATGCTTTGTCTCCCCATCTTTCATTCCCCATTTTGACGAGATCCCGAAGCAGCAATCGTCCTTGTAGGGTGACTGGAATTGCGAATCCCAATGGGTCATAAATTGAGTTAACGACAGATAACATGCCTCTACGAGTATACGGTTTCTCCGGCAATGTAATTTGAAATGCGAAAGCATCCTTCTCCAAATCCCACATTACTCCTAACGACCGTTGTGACAGAAGTGGGCCTTGTTCGATGTGTAGATCTTTGAGGCTTTTGACTCGGTCTTGATCTGGAAATGATTTCATGACTTCGACGGAATTGGATGCAATCTTATGAAGTCTCAGATTTGCAGTTGCGAGCATTGCTTGAGTGTTCTTAATGAGACACAGTTCCTTCCGCGGTATCATGTGATGTCAGACCGTCATCTACGTAGAAGTCTTCAACGACAAAGTCTTTGGCGTCTTGACCAAACTCTTTCTCTCCTTCTTCTGCGGTTTTCCTAAGGCCAAACGTTGCTACAGCGGGACTTGACATGTTGCCAAACAAGTGCACCACCATTTGGTAGACGATGATATCTTTTTCTTTGACGTTATCAGCGAACCACAGGAACCGCAATGGATCTCTATGTGGTGGGTGGACATGGAAGTTGTGGAACATTTGCTCTATATCACACATCACACCAACGGCATTTCTTCTGAATCTGACCAGTATTCCCCTGAAGACCATTGTGCATATCTGGACCTGACAACAGTTCCTTATTAAGAGATGTTCCTTTGAACTCTGCTGAGGAGTCGAATACAACTTGGATCTTATTTGGTTTACGAGGATGGTATACGCCAAAATGTGGTAGGTACCAAATTTTCCCAGTTTCTTTTGGGGGAGTGGCTTCAATTGGTATTGGTACGGCATGACCGCATTCAAACAGTTTTGCCATAAAGTTGAAGTAGTCTTGCTCCATTGGATTCCTCTTGAATGAATGCAGAAGGTTTTTGAGACGAGTTGAAGCTTGATCTCTGTTGTCAGGAACGTGTATGTCGTTAGATCGGAGGGGTAGTGGCATCTCCCAATGTCCTGTTTGATTTTTGTGGATATTGGATTCCATTATTTGAATGAAGCGTTGGTCTTCTATTGACATGGTGGTTTCGTTGTCGCGATCTGTTGCTTGGTACATGTCGGGGAAGTTCTCTTGTACAACGTAGTTATTTGTGCAGGGTGTCAACTCATGGTATGAGATCTCTCTTGTGTTACTTTATCTTGCTTGGGTTTGGCATCACGTTGCAAAGTGCTCACATCATCTTGTTCGAAATGTGTCTGTCTCGGTGGGTCGTAGTAAATTGTACGGTGGGTACCGACATGAATTGGTCCTCCTTGACGATCGACGCAGGCTTGTCCGCATATCGTCCAACCAACAGCTAGTTTGTGTGCCCACAGAGTTCCATTAGGACCGTTGCAGAATGCTCTCACTTTCAACAGTTCTGGCGCATTTCGACCAATTAAGAGCTGAACTTCTGCTCTACTGTCCAACGAGGGAATTTCATCAGCAATGGAGAGAAGGTGGGTATACTTCATGGCAAACTCTGGTGAGGGGATTTCACTCTTATCTTTGGGGATGTTATCACATTCGATCAGTGTGGGTAGCTCCAGTGGTTTTCCTTTAACTGGTGTGACCATCAAACCCGGGACCCGTCGACCAAACCTTGTTTCTTTCGAGCCACTACATGTTGACAGCAGGTATTTCTCCTTTGGTCCTGATATACCAAGGCCGTCAGCTAATTCCGGGCTAATCATAGACGTGTTACTTTGCTCATCTACAATGGTGTAAACTCTTCTTCTGCGGTCTGTCTGAATGGAACATGTCAAGCAGGGCAACCTTGCTACAGCAAACGTTTCTGTCGGCGTTGCAACCAATACTCATTCGCGCGGATGTTATTTCTTTGCTTCGGGCATCATTGTTCCATTTCTCCTTGTGAAGAAGCGTTGGGTAACGTTCACTGCTACACTTCCCGCATTTGACTTTCGATTTACATTGATTGGCTATGTGTCCTGCAACCAAGCATCGGAAACATAACTTTTCCTCTTTGATCCATTGCGTTTTCTCCTCCAGGTTTTTTTGAGCGAAAGATTTACACTCTGACAACGTATGTCCGATGCATTTGTGGAACGGGCAGTGTTTTTCTTTAACTTCTTCATCTTCTGTTTTAGTTTCTCCCGCCAAGACCGTATGCAGGGGGTCCTCTGGTGGGATAAGTGGTGGTATAAAAGGCTTTCTCCGATCTCCCTTTCCTCGTTTCTCGAAAGCTGTCACGTTTGGGTGATTCTTGAGTAGGGACTGTTTCTCGATCATGGAGGCAAACACGGTAAAATCAGGATAAGCGTCTTTGTTTTTCAGAGTGAATTCAACGACTTGCTTGTCCCATCTGTTGCGAAGGGATTCTGGTAAGTTATAGAGGATGGGTCGAATGGCGTTTGGATAGTTGAGGCATGCTAAGCCAGGAAGTTGACTAACTTGCGAAACCACGTCCGAGCACAGATCTGAGAATGCTTGGAGTTTCTTCTTATCACATTCTCCAAATCTGGCTGATTCTCGAAGTCTTGTAAGAAATGCGTTTGTAATTACTGCGACGTTGCCGAAACGCTTTTCCAATTCCATCCATAGTTCCATCAACAGTTTCTCAAGGTTTTTATGACGTCTTTTCCGATAACTGTTCACCAACTTTCGTGGCTCGCCGGTTGTATACATGCATAGATAGTTCATTTCGTTCTCTGGGGTGACGTTGCAACTTTCTGTCATTCCTTTAAATGCGCTTTTCCAAGGATGGAACATCGTAGCGTCTCCAGAAAATACATCTGGGTGACATTTCGGCAAACTCAACTTTGCCAGACTTGCAGTTAGCTTCTCGTTGGTCGTAGCTATCGCTCCCATACGTTGTTGAACTACGCGACTGGGTTCTTGTGTTTCATATATGTGGTGTCTTTCCGATCGGTGTCCGATGGGATGGGGTAAAGTCTGATTGAACTCATCGTTAACTTCTCGTTTAATCTTTCTCACCACATCACCTTCAAAGGGAGGTTGGCTCTCTACCCAAGCTTTGGTGCGCTCCAAAGGTTCTACGCTGGCTTTCCGACTTGATTTCCCAGAATACGAATCGTCTTCCTCCTGGATTATGGATCTTTCAATGGCTTCGAGCTTCGCTTGAGCTACTGCTTCCAATTTCCGGGCTGCAAAAACTGCTATATCATGTTCATGTCGGGCTTGTGCTGCTGATCTCTCTAGCACCTCTTGGGCTTCGCGTTGTTTCCGATCTTTCTCCATTTGAGCAATTAATCTGTCGTACTCCGCTTGCTCTTTCGCGGCAGCTGCTTCCGCCATTGCTATTCTTCTTTCTGAATGAAGTGATGAACGTGTAGATCCAGTTTTCACCGAAGTTCTCGATCTTCTGGACCTTACGGAGGACGTGTTCGCGACTCTGCTTTTATTATTGTCAAGTTTCTTTCCTGCCTCTTGCGAAACGACCTCAGCTGCGTGTAGGAAACTTTCGAAGGCTTTTTTGATGGTTGGTTCCACGTCAGTTGTTTCACCCCACTTGTCCTGTGCAAAGAGTTCTTCGAGACTTTTAACAGAATTTACGAGCATTCGTCTCTCTTTTTCGAGCGAGTCTAGGGCTTCCTTTATCGCTGAATTCTCCTCTATCGCTTTGTATACCAGGTCAATCGCAACCCGTAATACTTTCGTTTGTTTATTAAATGTTTTTGTCTGGTTTATAAGCGTGTTCTGGAAACCTTTATGTGTAAACGTTCTTGTACGCTTTTCTCCATGTTCGGAAACGACTGGGCTAGATAGGCTGTTTCCATCATATTCCGCCATTTTGTAAGTCCACGACTTCGTAGGATATGACCAGTAAATCTCTCCGAATAAACCAGATTTTTCACTGTTGTGTCCCAGGGAGGGAACAAAGTGTCAACCAAGGAAACACGAAATTATAAAAAGACTTTTAATTCGTACAACCACGGTGAAAACTATACAAATAAACGGAACAAATATCGTACACAAATTACAAATATTTAAACAAATAAATGGACAACTGACGAACAAATACAACAGAATACATACATCTAAGGCTTTACTCCACTCCAAATAACTTGTTTACTCCAGCTCTAAGTTTACTCCAGCTCTAAGTTCAAAAATTACTAAGTTTACTCCAGCTCTAAGTTCAAATATGGCCGCCAAAACAAATGTGTCCGCGTTTTATATGCCCACATGGAAGCCTGGGCCGAGTTCAATCTAAAGTTCTTACATCAAGTACATCACAGTAGTCATCAGAATCAAAGACTGTAGTCATCAGAATCAAAGACTGTAGTCATCTGAACCAAAGACTGTAGTCATCAGAATCAAAGACTGTAGTCATCAGAATCAAAGACTGTAGTCATATGAATCAAAGACTGTAGTCATCAGAATCAAAGACTGTAGTCAACAGAATCAAAGACTGTAGTCATCAGAATCAAAGACTGTAGTCATCAGAATTAAAGACTGTAGTCATCAGAATCAAAGACTGTAGTCATCAGAATCAAAGACTGTAGTCACCTGAATCAAAGACTGTAGTAATCAGAATCAAAGACTGTAGTCATCTGAATCAAAGACTGTAGTCATCAGAATCAAAGACTGTAGTCATCTGAATCAAAGACTGTAGTCATCAGAATCAAAGACTGTTGTCATCAGAATCAAAGACTGTAGTCATCAGATTCAAAGACTGTAGTCATCAGAATCAAAGACTGTAGTCATCAGAATCAAAGACTGTAGTCATCAGAATCAAAGACTGTAGTCATCAGAATCAAAGACTGTAGTCATCAGAATCAAAGACTGTAGTCATCAGAATCAAAGACTGTAATCATCTGAATCAAAGAATGTAGTCATCAGAATCAAAGAATGTAGTCATCAGAATCAAAGACTGTAGTCATCAGAATCAAAGACTGTAATCATCTGAATCAAAGAATGTAGTCATCAGAATCAAAGAATGTAGTCATTAGAATCAAAGACTGTAGTCATCAGAATCAAAGACTGTAGTCATCAGAATCAAAGACTGTAGTCATCAGAATCAAAGACTGTAGTCATCAGAGTCAAAGACTGTAGTCATCTGAATCAAAGACTGTAGTCATCTGAATCAAAGACTGTAGTCATCTGAATCAAAGACTGTAGTCATCAGAATCAAAGACTGTAGTCATCAGAATCAAAGACTGTAGTCATCAGAATCAAAGACTGTAGTCATCAGAATCAAAGACTGTAGTCATTAGAATCAAAGACTGTAGTCATCAGAATCAAAGACTGTAGTCATCTGAATCAAAGACTCTAGTCATCAGAATCAAAGACTCTAGTCATCAGAATCAAAGACTGTAGTCATCAGAATCAAAGACTGTAGTCATCAGAATCAAAGACTGTAGTCATCGTAGTCAATAAAGACTCGAGCCAAAGACTATGATCAAAGAAAGATGTCACGATACCGAAAGGCCTTTCACATAACTAACATTCTAGTTTTTACCAGGGCATGTCAACATGGTGTACTGTATGTCGCATGTTACACTCAAATCAAAGGATACAAAGACCAAGAATGATGTGCGTTTCGGCTATAAATTGATACTGACTGCTCCCGTGGATATAATTCTAAAATGTGATACAAAAATTTAAAAAAATAACTGGGTCAGTTTCCACAATACTTAATCGTTGCCACTAAACATTGAAATACATTATAACCTCCATTACAACCTTCACATTTCTCAAAATAACCCATCAACGTGTTCAGAATATCATTTCACAATTCAGGAAATGCTATTTCTCAGACATCTGATTTATAATTAATTTCATAACACCAATAAAAAGTGAGTCGCTCACCACTTGACCATTCTCTGGATTCCTGTGAGCATAAGCTGGACCACGAATATGGTTCCACATTTGACCGGACAACATACAGAAAACAATGGTCTAAAGTAAAAAATAAAGTTTAATCTGGGCTAGACCAATCAACGAGTTATTTTAGGAAGCTTGAAACAATCGCTCTCTGGTGGATAGGTTTTAGGAAGCTTCAAACAATCGTTCTCTGGTGGATAGGTGTTAGGAAGCTTCAAACAATCGTTCTCTGGTGGATCGTGCTATCCGGTACAACCGGCATCAGATATGTACGAACCTATTCAACCTGAGCTGTAAAATAGTATAGGTTCTTATACGCGGGATTTTACTCAAGCCTATTTCTTCTGAGACTCACCAAAGCACCAATTGCCCAGTATGTTCGGTTATAAAGAAACTCCAAACTCTTTCTCTTGACATACAGCAAACCACCAATGATAATAACAAGAGTGCCCAAGGCAAGTGCGCCCATGTAGTTTGGAGGACGAAGGATACGAATCTAAAATATCAACACAATTGTACAATTTAAAAACACCCTGGATAAAATATTTAACCTAGAAATATTTGGGTTAGGGCCCCTGGTTATTTTTCCACCTAACATAGTCCTGGTCAAATATAGCCACATTCTTGGTGTTAACTACTGTACGGTGTTAACCCGTATGGGGTATATCTACAAGGTTAACCATGTAGGAAAATGTTAACCGGGGTATTTTTACAGGGAAAATAGTCAGCTCCACTTCACTTGACAAACAGCTTTCGCTCAAAACTTGGAAAAGAGCCAAGGTTGTTTAAATCAATTAAGAGTTTAAATCTAATACAGTTCGTTTATACAGCTTCCTTTGCTATTTATAAACAGTACCGCGCTAATATGCTGTAGTAGCTGTTAAAAATTAACTTTGTATTATTTAATAACATGAAACAGATAAAAGTCCCACATTGCTAAGCCTTTTCCCCAGAAAGTTATTTACTAAAGGGCTTTAGCCCGGTTTGAGCTGCCCGGGCTGACACTCAGCCCGGCAGCATGTAATCGCAAATAATTTCAGTCCAGGCTAAAAAAACAACCGTTTAAATGGCTTTATTTTGCGTGTTTGTTTCATCTTTAAATACATTATATATATAACCACAATCTCACACAAGTCAAATAGTCGACTAATCAGCGTCTGATTGCTTCAAAGAAGCGTAACAGGCTTATTGTCCTATTTCGTGACACTCAGATGATTTCAGCCCGGGCTGACATTTCAGCCTGGGTTGACTATAAATATAGCTCAGACTAAACTCAGCCCAAGCTCAAACTGCTCAATGCTCATGTAATCGTGATGGAATCTCAGCTCGTTTAACCGGACTGAGAACTCTCCATGTAATCAGCCCCTAAGTAGTACTACAGACTATAGTTCCCAGGTTCCCCGAGTCGTGGAACCCCTGATTTCACAAAATCCCAACGATCATGTTTACAAACCACAGTCTCTCTCGTAAAGATTAATGTGGTATGAAAGACGAGAATGTGTCAACATGGACACTTACATGAATATCAGTTCGTTCCGCAACCCAACGTCCAAGGTTATCAGCAGAATATCCCATCCTACAACATACTCAAACATTGATAGTGTGTGTTCTTTATAAAATTTCACTTAATATATTAAATTAAAGAGATTTTTCGTGGTTTGAAACTATACCTATACGATATATTTTTAATTTCAAACTTTCTGTGCCAGTGTAGGTAATGCCAACAATATGAACAAGCTTTTGTTGGCAGTGATGCGCAACTACAGTATTCCTCAAAGATATAAGAAGAATATTGACGTTTCGAGCGAAGGCGTCTGGAGTTGCTTGCCAAAGTAACTCCAGTCTCCAGACGAAGGGCATTCGCTCGAAATTCTCCTTATGTTTTTCAGGTAGATGCATCCCTACCAAAGAAATCTTGTTCACTTTTAATTACAGAGGCCTCGTATTCATCTGTCTATTTACAGTTTTATATCGGTTAAAAATTGCCAATACTACCTCTGGATATCATAACTATCGCCGCGTTTTGCTTTTCCTTTTGCTGGAATATGCATAAAAACTGGAGCAGAATTTAACTTTAACTAAAAAATATAAATAAAACAAAGAAATATTTTTTTTATAATAACCAATGATCTAGAGTGGATAACCAAAACAGTTATTTTGCTGCTGTAGGTTGAGCTGACCAAGCCATCACAATTAAAAGAATGTGTCGAAATGCCATCCATATCAATTTCTAATGCAGCCACAACTGTATGATTGTGTTAGTGTGAACGCATCATAATTATACAAAACATACCGCTTGAAAGACATCTGATCCTTCATCAAAATCAACCATTGCAAAGAACAGCTGATTTGAATAACTTGGTGAGTAATGCCAGGAGTTGGCAAGAATCTGATATTCTGCATTTGCTTCCCTGTAAATACAGGAATGCATGCAAATTTAGCATTTAATCCACTACAGAAAAGTAAGAACTTAATCCCCGAGCCAACAGCACAAAGCACTGTTCCGGGCATAATTTCGCGTAAGAGGTCAGTTTATTCGTATATAAGCTCACTAGCTCAGAGGCGAAGCCTCCTAAATTTCCAACAAAACATTCAAATTTCCGACAAACCCCCCCAATTTGCACTCGAAAAGGCTGTTTTGAGCAAGGCCGGATTGTGGTGGAAATAGTGGGGGAGGTGGAAAAAAATTTAGAGAAAGTGCAGCGGTCTAGCTCACGACTGACCATGGAAAGTTAGGGTTTAGAACAGGCCAACGTCAACAATGTGACGTAGTCTAGGACCTGTATATGAGTTTGTATGCGATTCATTTAGGACAGGTAATCTCAACTGTTTTAGGGTAAAATGACCATGGCGGTCAACATGGCATATGTGCGAAAACCTGAATCCGGGACGAAAGTCCTGAAAATGACCCCGCCCTGAAATGGCAGTGTCGACATAGCTCTAACTTCCGAAAAGGAAAAGCGATAGCCTTTCTGAAGTGCTTATGGTGTTTAGAAGGGTTGCTTTTAGGGGTGGTCATTGGAAGGAAAAATTTGTCGAAGTATAATATTTTACCAGAAAATGACTATGCACCACCCCAGGTAAATTGCTGATTATGCACAAAATAACTAATATGCCTGGCAGAAATTAAATATTCTTATTTCCTAAAAAAAATTATCATGGGGTGAAAAACTATGCTTAATTTAATATAAATATTGTTGATTTCATAAGGATTGTCATTGTTTTCTTTAAATATAATACATTTTATTTCACTTACCCCCCACGAAAACACGATTTCAGCCATATTTTGCCGCCTTGTTTGCTTTTTATCGTCGAATCTCGCAAATATCATCCAGTTATTGTACTTTTACATAATCATAAATGGCTGAAGAAGATTTCAAAGAAGGTTTCATCCACTTTTGTAACAGTGCAGTGTATTTTACCTTCGATATTGTGTCCTTCGATATTCCGCCAAATTGCCGCCAAATTGCCGCTTCTCTGTCTGATAAATGCAACTTCTTCGTTTCCATATGTATTTAGATTACAGTATCCAAGAGTAGTTCATTGTAGAATAGTCCCAATCCAAAAATTGGCAACATTTGTCCCATTAGGAAGGAAAAATCATCCCGTATACCATTTAGGTTCAAAATAAAAAACAAATCATTTGAAAGTCACGCGCAATCTTCGCGAAAACTTCTCGTGGACACATGACGGGGGGGTTGAATATTTTCACGAATATGTTCGCCACCACAGAAACATAACTAAATATATTGTATTTATTGCATTTTTATGATTTATGACAAAACTACGCAAATATTTATTGTTTTTATTATAAATAATAAATACAATAAATACAATATATTTAGTTATGTTTCTGTGGTGGCGAACATATTCGTGAAAATATTCAACCCAGGGATGCCGGAACCACGGGTGCAGCGGGTGCAAGTGCACCCCTTGCCTTTTGCATTTTCAACTTTGTGGGTGCAGTACGGGTGCAGAATACGGGTGCAACGGGTGCACAAAGTGCCCTTTTTGCGTGAAACATTTTCATTAAAATTGCATTTTTTGCGCAAAGGGCATTTTTGAAAAATTCAATCTATGTTATTTCCGGAAAAATGTTTTAATTCCGGAAAATTTTTTTTGTATTTAGGAAAAATTGTGGTATGTCCGGAAAATTTTTTTTACCCCTAAAATGGTACACTGACCAAAAAATTTTTGGCGGGGGGCGGGGAGGTCGCCAAAAATAATTTTTAGATGCCCTTTCATTTTCATTAGTGCCCTTTTGTTAAGGAATATGCCCTCTTGTTAACCAATTGCACCCCTTGCCCCCAGCAACTTCCGGCATCCCTGATTCAACCCCCCCTGTCATGTGTCCACGAGAAGTTTTCGCGAAGATTGCGCGTGACTTTCAAATGATTTGTTTTTTATTTTGAACCTAAATGGTATACGGGAGGATTTTTCCTTCCTAATGGGACAAATGTTGCCAATTTTTGGATTGGGACTATTCTACAATGAAGTACTCTCGGATACTGTAATCTAAATACATATGGAAACGAAGAAGTTGCATTTATCAGACAGAGAAGCGGCGAGCCATTAAAATGGTGGCAATTTGGCGGAATATCGAAGGACACAATATCGAAGGTAAAATACACTGCACTGTTACAAAAGTGGATGAAACCTTCTTTGAAATCTTCTTCAGCCATTTATGATTATGTAAAAGTACAATAACTGGATGATATTTGCGAGATTCGGCGATAAAAAGCAAACAAGACGGCAAAATATGGCTGAAATCATGTTTTCGTGGGGGGTAAGTGAAATAAAATGTATTATATTTAAAGAAAACAATGACAATCCTTATGAAATCAACACTATTTATATTAAATTAAGCATAGTTTTTCACCCCATGACATTTTTTTTTGGAAATAAGAATATTTAATTTCTGCCAGGCATATTAGTTATTTTGTGCATAATCAGCAATTTACCTGGGGTGGTGCATAGTCATTTTCTGGTAAAATATTATACTTCGACAAATTTTTCCTTCCAATGACCACCCCTAAAAGCAGCCCTTCTAAACACCATAAGCACTTCAGAAAGGCTATCGCTTTTCCTTTTCGGAAGTTAGAGCTATGTCGACACTGCCGTTTAAGGGCGGGGTCATTTTCAGGACTTTCGTCCCGGATTCAGGTTTTCGCACATATGCCATGTTGACCGCCATGGACATTTTACCCTAAAACAGTTGAGATTACCTGTCCTAAATGAATCGCATACAAACTCATATACAGGTCCTAGACTAACGTATGCATGTACTGTAGTGTACATAATTATGTATCAGTGTATTAATGAATTATGACTGTGCAACTCATCCAATTTTGCCCTTCATTACAATTACTGCAAAGTTTCTTTCAAAAACATTGCTTTAAAAGGGCACAGAGATGAATGGCTTATGAAGTATAGACTCTAAGCAACAAAAAAATATCAAATTTTCACCCCGTCTATCATTGAAACTTTCCCAAGGGGAGGTGCATGACTTTTCAAGGTGTAAAACGATCTCAGGAGAGGTGCAACCTCCCCACACCTCCCCTCAAAATCCGGCCATGGTTTTGTGCTCTCTTTTAGGTCAAAATTTCCGAAAATTTCCACCACTGCCATTGCTCTTTTACATGCCTCAAATGTCGGGTCTTAACTCGAGCATCGAATATTTTCAATGACTTCAAGTTAAGACCAAGTTGTGTTTCTTTCTTTGAGTTAAGCCCACAAAAATGGGCATGGTCAGGGCTTATGTATGGTTCAATTCTTCCTGTAGCCATCCCCCCCCCCCGGGCAACCTCTGGGAATTTGCATATTTTTTATTTCAAAAGTGTAAATTCCCCACCCCCGGGCAAATAAAAAAAGACTATTGCGTTTGGTTTATTTTCATGATCAGTATAATAAATATTGAGCTTATAGGAAAGTGACAACAGGACATTGTCCAAAAGTTAGCTGACACTAAACTTTGGCGTGTTTTTCGCTATAACTTTTGTATAGGAAAGTAATATTAATAATTAAAAAACCTCCAGTTTCTTCGTCACACTCGGTAAATGAATGGGGTATGCTAACTTTCACGTAATGTTTGTTGTTAACTAGTCTCTCCGATTATGAATAAAGAACAATATATTTTACCAAAAAGCTATAAAAGTGTACATCTTCGAATGATTATCTATCAGTTTTTCTTGTTCGAGCCTAGAGCCGTCGAGGGCATGCTCTCGACCCAGTCTTTTCTCTCGGCCGGAAACTGCGTTACTAATTAATTACGTCATAAATTGACAAAATTAAACATTAATAATATGCTTCTCAACATTCCCCTCTCCACACTGAAGTCTAATACAACAGTGTGAACAAACAATGTCCAACTTTAATTAATGTCAAAATATTAACTGTCCGATATTACACGTCCAATGGAATTAGTTTGTGTATGGGCCTAATATATGTCTTTTGGCCACATTGTACTTTCGTGACTCTTGTATGTCCGTCCTTCCCGGGATAAACATCAATGATCCGTCCTAGCGGCCAATCTCCCCGCGATAAACCTTGTTGCATGACCAAGACCACATCACCCACATTTAAATCTTTGACTATTTCCGACCACTTTGGTCTTACCGTCAACATTGGTAAACATTCCTTGAGCCATCTCCGCCACACCAAAGAAACCAAATGCTGTACCTTTCTCCAACGCTGTCGAGGATGGCATTCTTTACGAAGCTCTGATTCTGGCGCGAACTGTCCGCGTCCTTGGATGGTAACGAATGCCCAGCAAAGTCGATACCACACTGATCGAATGCACGGTACGTGAAACGTAATCTAACTTTCGGTAAAGGTGCCATTACTTCGATAGCTGGCTTGCTGCGTCGTCTTTTGCGGTGGTTACACTGATTTTCCCATTCACGCATCTCCTCCCCCGCTGCGATGATCCAATATTTCTCGTTAATTTGACTTAGGATGAAATTCACTCCGGCGTTGTGGTTATCTTTCTCATGATAATCCTTGACAATCAGCCTTGTGATCCAGTGTCTTCTCGGAAGTATGACTGGATGGCGTACGTCGTACGGTAGCTGTTCTGCGAATTTAAGGCGTCCATCTGAGCGAATTAAACCGGCTTCATCAATGGTAGGATTTAACTTGACAAGCGGACTGGTTTTTGGCACCGGTTTGCCACTCTTGACGATGTCGTAATCCCCACGAAAACCTTCTTGTTGAGCCAAACGAATCGCTTCCTCTTCCGCTTCCTGGATCTCTGAGTCCTTCTCTGAGTCCTTCTCTGAGTCCTTCTTCTTTGATCACCGTTTCGCACGTTTCTCAAATTTCATTCTCGGCCATTGATCCTCACATGTTTTCTGATATTCGTTAGCCACGATGGGATTCTTTCGCAGATTTCTTTCGGTGGAGACCAGGCGAGATTGTGCCATCTGACGGTTGCTCGGCAACTCTGGTCGATCACCTCGCCAAGGTACACCAACTTGGTATCTCTCATCCACTGTTTGCAACGAGCTCTCGACCTTTCCAAGGGCTAATTTCTCATCTTCGGTCATAACTTTTGCACAAACTTTGTCGGTACCAGTACTTTCGATTTCCCAGAAGTTACGCATTGTACAATCAAGGTTACAACACTCTGTCAATCTGTTATCCGGATCTGCCGTTTTGGAATGCAGTGTTCTCGCCAGATGGGATCTTGAATGGTGGTTGGTATCTTTAGCAGCGGACCCAATACATGTCCAACCGAGCGGGCCGAGACGAGCTACTGGCCCTCCCGAGGGGCCTTGGAAATCAACAATGGAGAAGTGCAGATCAGGGTTGTCCACACCAATCAGTAAATCAGCAAACCCATCTTTAGCTGGCGTAGCAAAATTGCATTGCGAAAGATGCGGCCAGTTTGACTGATATTGATTCCAATCCACCACTTGATAGCTCCGTGTAACTGCTCTAGGACAGGTTTGAACATTTATGGTTTTAGTGAACTGGCGATCATCACTTTCTAAATCGATCTGCAGCGGCATTGACCTGAAGGTTTCCACAGAATCGTTTAACACTCGTACTTGTACAGTTTGCCACGTAGTTCTCAATCCAAGGAGGCCAGCAACTTCTTCATTCATGAAAGATTCATTTGAGGCATCATCTAACACTGCATTCACTTTCACCTTTTTTCCATTAGCTTTTACCCAAACTGGAACTGTTCTCAATTAGGTTGCCTCTGGTTGCAATTTGGACCGGTTTGATGTCATAGTAAGATCTGTCAAACTCTCTGCCCCCTCCCGTGAAGGGTCCGCCCTCTCGTCCGGAAGTACAGGACCTGGTTTCCTGCTTTGGGCGGTGTCATGAAGTAGTCGGTGATGAGTGAGCTGACATCCATCAACATCACATGGGCGAGTCCGTCTACAATACTTTCCACGATGCTCATTGGATAAACAACGAAAACACAGATACTTTTCTTTTGCAACTTTCCACCGTTCTCCGACTGTTTTCTGTTTAAATTGGTTGCAATTCCATATCCCATGGTTACCCTGACCACAGAAAACGCAGGGTGGCTTGGTTCTCTCTTCTCGTTTTTCTATACGGTTTTGAAAGCGGTCGTCCACTTCTTTTCCAGTAAAGTATGACCTTGGGCGACCTTCATCAGATTTTCCTCTCGGGAGTCGTCGCTCAGGTAACAGTTCCTCATCCAACCCATGAGCCATTTCTTTCGCTTCAATCTTGATTGCCACTTCTTCTTTTAACCAGTCACACAAACTAGTAACTGCAGGTTCTTTGTTATGAACGTTTAACCAACGACTGTAACACTCTAAATGTCGATCATGTAACTTCCGTACGAGTTGACTGTGCAATGTTCCCTCTCCTAGCTCTGCTTGTCGGTTTTCTGCTTTCAGCTTCACAACCGCCACTCTCACTAAATCAGCAAACCTTTCAAAATTGTCCACATCATTATAACGCAGTGCTGGTATACTATTTAACTCATCCATGTAAGCTCTTAGTTGCCGACGTTGCTCACCAAACTTTGTCTTAAGAATTTCTTTCGCTTCTGTGTATTCAGGTTCTGATACCCCTAGACCTCGAATTGCATCATGGGCTCGGCCGGTTAAACTTTGCTGTAATCTTGCCATTTTGAGATTGATGGGTTCATTTGAAGCATCTACCAAACTCAGAAACAGGCTCCAAAATTCTTCAAATTTGGCCTTGGTACCATCAAAAACAGGAACGCGCAAAGCTTTAAGGTGACGATTAATTGCTGAATTACCCCCTTGCATTTGGGGTGAAATTGGGTAAGGAAGGGTCGTAGTCTGGGTGCCAGGTGGAATTGGGGGGTGGTAACCAGGGCTCTGATAAGGAAGGGTCGTAGTCTGGGTACCAGGTGGAATTGGGGTCTGGTAACTAGGGCTCTGATATGGAAGGGTCGTAGTCTGGGTACCAGGTGGAATTGGGGTTTGGGAACTAGGGCTCTGATAAGGAAGGGTCGTAGTCTGGGTACCAGGTGGAATTGGGGTTTGGGAACTAGAGCTCTGATATGGAAGGGTCGTAGCCTGGGTACCAGGTGGAATTGGGGTTTGGGAACTAGGGCTCTGATATGGAAGGGTCATAGCCTGTGTACCAGGTGGAATTGAGGGGGGAGGGGGGGTGGTAACCAGGGCTCTGATATGGAAGGGTCGTAGTCTGGGTACCAGGTGGAATTGGGGTTTGGGAACTAGGGCTCTGATAAGGAAGGGTCGTAGTCTGGGTACCAGGTGGAATTGGGGTTTGGGAACTAGAGCTCTGATATGGAAGGGTCGTAGCCTGGGTACCAGGTGGAATTGGGGTTTGGGAACAGGGCTCTGATATGGAAGGGTCATAGTCTGGGTACCAGGTGGAATTGGGGGGTGGTAACCAGGGCTCTGATAAGGAAGGGTCGTAGTCTGGGTACCAGGTGGAATTGGGGTTTGGGAACTAGGGCTCTGATAAGGAAGGGTCATAGTCTGGGTACCAGGTGGAATTGGGGCCTGGGAACTAGGGGTTGGGTCCTGGTGACTAGGGGTCTGTACTTCTGTTTGCAAATTGTTATTCGATTCGGTCGATAAATCATTTCCCCCTGTGAGCAAAACTGGTTCGGTGTCGACTGGGTTGTCTTTTTCTAATACTTGGGGTGAGTCAACTAACATCTTTTGTGCACTGTCTATAGTCTGCTGTATTTCTAGCTCTAAGTTATCTGATTCTTGCATAATTTCTTTGTGCAGTTTCATATCATTCATCTGTAAATACAAGCTATTCATTTCGTCCATTACAAGCTGTGTTTCCTCCAAAATTTCCCACAATTCACTTACGCAATTTTCGATTTGAGCAGTGTCTATATTTCCGTCCTTTACACTGCATAATTTTTGTAATTCATGTTTAAGCTTAGTTACCTTCGTTTTACGGGTTCTTTTCTCCCTTCTTAACTTCAACAGCATCTCCGCATGTTGTGTGAAACGTTAAGTGTCTGCGCTTAGTCAGGTTTGACCACGGATTAGCGATGTCGTCAAGATCGATCGTGTGACTGTGTCTTTTAGATCGCGCTCACACACAAGAGTCAAGAGTTCACCAAGGCGTTCCTGGTTCATTTCTGAACGCATAACAGTTTTCGCTGATTTCAGCTTTGATAAGCTGCGCTCGGCTGATGTGGATGTTACAGGAATTGTCAGGCGCGTAACTATAGAATTTTTGATTGACCGAGACACTTCTGGGGGGGTCTGGAGGTATGCTCCCCCAGAAAATTTTTGATTTTCTAAGGCTTAGAAACGCTATTTCCTGCATTCTGGGAGCAGTTCAAACGAAAAATCAATTTCATAAACAGTGACACAATGACTATAATCTTATACTGTAGTTTGCCCCCAATCCTGAGGCTAAGAATTATAAATATTTTTGGTCGAACATCATTGATCAAGTGCATAATAAAAAAGTATTTGTGCTCAGTTGTTGTAATATTTGGGCACTGGCCCGCACTTTTGTTATTGGGGTACTTGTGCACCCACACAGCCTCCCATTTCTTACGTCACTGTAGGGCAAGAACAATGCTTCTTTACATGGAGAGAACTACAGTCTGTCATTGAACTTGAACTCGATTGACTCATATACCTAGTCAGGGTCTTAGCTAGGATTTTATATCTTGGGCGTGTTTCTAAATTTCCAGGGTGTGGCCCTGTCAATTGCCTTGAATAGCCAAAAACATGATTCCAGTTATGCTTGTCAACAATAGACTATACCTGTGGTTGTTCTATATGCTTTTTAACCAAATACAAGGCGAGCATACGCTCATATTTCGCACTGACATTATAATAACTTATTTTAGCAACTTTTGGGACATTTAAAGCCATTTTAACAACCATACGGTTCCCATTGTCCATCAAAACATTAAAACATCACGGATCACTTTTACCAATTTCAACCACTACAGTAGATTTTACAAAGAAATGATGTATGTTGTAAGTAGCAACACCTTATTTTATGAACGTACATGCACGGCCAAAAATAAATACTGAAGCCGCGTTCATTTCATCTAGCCATGTTTTTACATTGTTGGCCGCGATAACACGGCCAACACGGCCTTCTAGCTAAGACCCTGTACCTAGTTATGGGCCTGACTGTAAGCAACAATTGGAAACATCGCCTAGTAAGTGGAAACAATTTTTCGCTCCATGATTTCAGATAAACCAGTGCGTCGTTCACTGATCGAATTTCTTGATTGCAGTAGGCACATAAAACTCTTTGGTAACAAAATGCACTTTGCACTTTGCATCTTAAAAATATAGTTTAGGGACCGGAGAAATATTGTAACTAATGTTAGCTATTTTGATCGAGATTCATCACATTTTGGAGTCTGATTTGGGGGGTTTGAAATTTTCGCTAATATAGAATATCACCCGTGAATGACCTTAATTGCAGAACCTAAATTCCAAATAAAAGTGCCAACACGTAATTGTGACATATAGATATCTCCATGAGATATCTCCATGTTTGGAAAGTAAATGGAAATTTCATCCCTTTGCGCGTGTTTTGACTGATAATTCGTTCATAAAGTCGCGATATAAGTACGTAATATTTCTTCATATTATTTCTGAGCAAATTTCCAACTCAATACTAAATAGTTTGAGTCTATCTCAAGTTTTTTTTAATTTGCTTCCGATCACAAAGCACTGCATGTAAACAGCATAATTTTGAGACCGACTGCACTTAGCTGTTACAGTTTCTATTACAAAGGTTTGTTTATAAATTATCTGGCTTTGAAATATTGAAAGAATTACCGCGATTCATGCGAATTTCGACGTTTTGCTAAGCCTAAGGTGAAACTGTGAATAATTTATGTACCGACAGTGCTGCGAGACATCTACTTATAAAACGTAATATCTTGTGCCTCAATCGTTTAGAAAAAACAAGGTAAGACTTCCATAGCCTTTATGTTTTTCACTGCCATGAAGTTTTTGCTCATAAGCGATTTATCGAGCGCGATTCGCGAAGCACGTTTTGCGATTTTGCAAAAGCAGTAAACAAATTATTCGAGCGAGTCATTACGCGTAACGAGCGAGAGGTAGCGATAGCGCCCCTCGCAAGGTTTCGCATCGTGTTTCTCGCTCAGACATTCTCGAAACTCGCTCACAAACAAATGTATAGTTTCCGTTGGACGGTACTGTAGATCTCGCGGGAAACAGCTTCACACGGGTTCGCGGGCTAAGTCCAACCCAACGCATTCGGGGGCATAATATAATGTCATAATTATAAATATTCCCCACCCCTACCCCCGGGACCAAACGATCAATGAAATTCCCCACCCCCGGGAATTTTTGGCGCACAAATCCCCGGGGGTTGCTGGGGGGGGATGGTAACAGGAAGAATTGAACCATGCATTAAGTCGAAAAGGGCTTAAGAAATAGAAAGTGGGGCAATGAATAAAGTCTGCCCGCAGGGCTGCTGAGCTATACTGTAGAGCACTATTTATAGGAGTATAGCAGTTGAAAATGTACAGTACCTACCTACAAACTGCACATTGTCTTTGTGGAGCTAAAGCAGTCAACATTAATATGATTGAATAATTTCTCGGTACTCCCTTGACATATTGTCTATATTTATCGCCATTCATTCGTATCACAGGCCGTCTGCTCGTCCAGTCCATCAATTGCTTCACTTTCGCCTCAAGTTGCACCTTTAAAAGAAAATACCATTCTTAATTTCCTTTCAAATATCAGTATTGAACATAAGCTTCAAATATCTACCTCCTTAGTAACCTTCTTTTTCGCATTCAAAGGCAAGAAACACATGAGAAGAACACACAAAACACACGAGAAACGCGCCATCTTGAAATCACAAAGAAACGCCAGCGATACACACCTGACCGCCTGGATACTTCATTTCCCATGGATTGAATGATCGACCCTACAATAAATGATGCAGGGGCGGAAAAAACCCTGGAGGGGCCGAAGCAATTTTCCCCTGCGCTACTTCCAATAAAGTTTGTTTTTCATGTGAAAATGTATTTGGACTCCCACGTTAACCATGCTTATGCACATGAAACGGGGGGGGGGGGATATTTTTGCCAGGGCGGTCGCCCTCCCCCTCTGGCTACGTAAGTCACTGCTACATGAAGCATTGCCAAGGCAACGCCCTCGTTTTCATGTGGTTTCTCGCACATGCAATAAGGTTAAGCTTGTGATCAGCCTCAAGGTCAAACAACAGAAGGCAAAAATGAAAACCAGAAAACGAGACCAATGGGACACAATAAACAGTAAAGTCCAAGTGCCAATAACAATAAAATAAAATGATTGTTTTGTTTTAACAGCTTTATTGAACGATGTTCAAACGGCAAGAGTGCGAACGGGACTCAAGACCCATGCGAGGCACTCTCCCTCTTGAATTTTGTTTACATCTAATAACATTATTTACAACAAAATTATAAATTGGTAAACATATACCAGCTGATTAATATCAAATTAGGAAGATATTGCACCACATTTAAGTTATCATACATAATGCAGATTTGTATAATCATGTTAAAAATTTGAAAGCTGAATCAGGATAAGGCAAAACCTGACACGAGGAGCTGGTATATGTTTACATCAGAATTAACTATTTCTATGGCATGAACAGCTACGATACAAAGACCACGTACAGCACATGTCAACATCAAAACTACTACTTAATAAATTGAAGTATGTTCTTGATAAGAAGGATTTAAACGTTGCCAAACTGCGAAGATCTCTAGGAGAAGCAATTTTGCAAACAAGGTTCCAAATGAGGCCAGTTGTGCCTGGGAACCCAATCTCATAAACTTTCCAATTTTAGGCAAAAAAAATGGTAAAAATTGAAAAACTAGGCAACCAGAAAACGTAAACTAGGATGCCCTGATATAGGTCACAAAATCGGTTGTCAGTTTGTGTTGTGTACGTGTATTTATCCTACATTATCGTGCTTAATTTCGAAATACTCTGCTATTTTAATACCGTATGTAAAGCTGTTTCCGTATTATATTAATAATCTCTGTTTTAGGAATGTTTTTATTCTGTCAACATGTGTAGATTTAGATTAATACAACGTCATTGCGCGCGATTGGTATTTTGGAGTTGAGGAACGTCCTAGTTTTTGACGACAACAGCCTAGTTTTTTTCCAAATAAGGTATTTAGGACGTTCTCAGACCCCTGCGCACAAAAAACTATGACGTTCCCAGTCTTCTTCACCTTCTCACGCCCACAAAACTAGGCAGTTTGCATTTATATCATTACAATGCGTGATATTAAATTACACTTGCGCAAATCTATCGCAATAACATCGGTGTAAACAGAAAAAAAAGCAAGAAATACATTATATTCCTTGTATTCAGTACAGCTACCAATAGTATAATGTACTGAATATTGGTTATTACGCTTATCACTCATTTATTGAGGCAATGATTATTTACGCAAATAACGCAATGCCGAATTGTGATTCATGTTTGGCATACATTACTAAATTGGATTCTTCGGTGTTGTTTTTAAAGCTGTTGTTTCTAATAATATGGGCATAGGCAATAGGCATGGTCTTATTTTTTTAGTTTGAGTACTAAAACTAGTCAACTAGAGTTTTCATTATATAAACCAACGTCTATATATAGATTCTATACATGAATTGTAAAAGTATATCACATCTCTAAGCTGCACTTGACCTTTTAAACGGTAACTTTATAACGTCACAGTATTTATGGTCACCACTTTTCCGGATGCTTTGCTAACATGCAAATTGTCTAGTATTGATTTTCCAAAGAACTTAGAACGGCAATTTTACAAAGACATTACCAATACCAGAAATGCTAAAATTGTGTGTATTGTAATGGTATTGCAATTGTCACTAATTATAATGTTTTTATAGTGCAGTCATGCCAATCAGTACTGGTATCAAAACCTGTAAAATGGACTATATACTTTACAGCCATATATTACTAAATACATATCAAAACATGTATCATTAATTCATTTGCGCTAACCTTATAAGCCTCTCACAAAAAAAGTTTTAGGGGGGTACTTGAAAACGTGAAAATTGGGCTATTAATTTTTTTAATACTGAACCCCAGGCACCAGCAAAATGCCATTTGGAACCCTGTTGCAAGTATGATTCCAGAGTGGAACAATACGGTTAAAGAACGATGTCTGAAAAGTGCTACTTTTACATGACGGAACTTTAAGCACTAGAGAAGGATTATTACAATTACGGGTACGACTATGATTGACAAATGACACAAAATTGAAAGCATCCAAATCATAAAAACCATGCAAAGTTTTAAACATAAATGTCAGATCCTTAATTTCCCTGTCAAACGCCAGTGGTAAAAGATTCAGAGCCAGCAATCTGTCCTTGTAGGTCATGTCACCTTTCTTCGATTGAAGGATCCATCTTGTTGCACGCCTTTGGACTTGCTCCAGATATAATTTGTTATTATATTGGGAGGGAGAACAAACTTCTGTGGCATAGCATACTTAGCATAATTGCGACTTGACGAGCGAAAGATACAGAGTGCGCCGGATGCTGCGGTCTGTTAACAAGGGGCATGTTCTTCTAAGCAAACCCAGCAACCTGTTCGCCCGTTGACTTTTATTTTGTTGATATGGGTTGTCCATGAAAAGTTACTGGTCACTGTGATTCCCAGATCAACTTCATCATTCACACGCTTCAATTCGGATGATCCCAGATAATATTCGAAACGAAAAGGTGTTTTACGGCGGGAGAATGTCAATATTATACACTTTGAGGGATTAAAGTTGATGTTGTTATCCTTACTCCCAACATCCGCACACGACAAAGCTTCTTGTAACTGTGAACAATCCTCTGGAGTTGAGATTTATATAATTATGTATCTATATAATTTGGTATCATCAGCATACAGTCCTGTTGATGTAGATTCAGGAATGACATCAGGAAGATCGTTGATGAAGAGTAAGAAAAGCATTGGACCCAAGATGCTTCCCTGTGGAACGCCAGAAGTGACGGGGGACCATGACGAAGCAGCACCCTCTACAACAACACGCTGGGTCCGGTTATGCAGGTAGTCAGAGAACCATCTGTAAAGGTTTCCTGCGATACCGTAATCTTTCAGCTTTCTTAAGAGAATAACATGATCCACTGAGTCGAAGGCTTTAGCGAAGTCGAGAAATAGAATGTCCGTCTGGGTATTTTTGTCAAGCAATTGTCCAATACGATGTAACGTTGAAAGAATTAAGCTGTGTAGCACAAGAACGGCCATGAAGAAATCCATGCTGAGCTTCGTTAATCGAATCTCGGATATGTTCGTAGAAACGATTACAAACGCATCGCTCCAAGACTTTGCTGATGATAGATAGCAGTGAAATTGGACGGTAGTTGATAGCTAGTTCTTTCTTATCTTTCTTATGAATTGGTGAATGATGCTTGTGATGTACTCTGAGTGTATATCCACACTGGGCAAGCTTGAAAAATATGCCTGACCATGGTGGGAATCGAACCTACAACCTTTGGAATACTAGCCCAATGCTCTGCCAACTGAGCTACGCGGTCTGGTCGGTTCGAGTATGTGATATTTCGGAACAGAATCTAGTTAGTTCGATATCAATGTAATCTGATAATCATGCATGATTTTTTTTCTGTGTTGGTGTAATGTACTCAGGTGAATATGATGCTTGTGATGTTACTCTGAGTACATTACACCAACACAGAAAAAAAATCATGATTATTAGATTACATTGATATCGAAGGAACTAGATTCTGTTCCGAAATATCACATACTCGAACTGACCAGACCGCGTAGCTCAGTTGGCAGAGCATTGGGCTAGTATTCCAAAGGTCGTAGGTTCGATTCCCACCGTGGTCAGGCATATTTTTCAAGCTTGCCCGGTGTGGATATACACTCAGAGTAACATCACAAGCATAGCATCATTTTCACCTGAGTACATTACACCAATAAAATAAAATGTTGCAAACAACTTAGATGTTGGTAGATGTCTCCAGGGGCGCCGCAGCTACCCCCATCAGTTATTCACATGAAACTGAGAAATGTTTTCAAACAATTTAGCTCAAATTTGAATCTGAAATTCCTCTCACAAACATTACAAAGGTGTCCAACTTTGTGAAAAAAAGTTAAAAAGCCTTCCCAAATAATTGACAAACTGTCATGTTGTTTTACATCACGTTCTAACTCTATTGGCTACAAATAAACAAGTATCTGTACAGCAAAATGTTAACGAACATTGCGGTCTACAGAAAGCTCAGAAGTGCGTGCCCCCCCAGCCTGCGAGGCAAGATCTGGTTAGGGGGCAGTGAGTGCCCTTTTTAATCCGGCGCCCCCTGTGTATTTCAGGTACTTGCATCATCTACAGAGTTCGCAGTTTGAAAAGCAATCTACATAGGGTTGGACACAAAAGATAATTGATATCCCTTCCGATCCGGACTCTTTCAAGATCAACACTTAAATAGTTTGGTAAGGGACGGACCATTAGATATTTGAGGGGGGGGGGCAAATACCAAAAAATATCGTGCACAACAAACCCACTGAAAAAAAAATCGAGCAAGAACTAGGGCTACTGATTTTTAAAATCGTAATGCAATTGTTTTAAAACATTAAATTGGTGTTTTACGACAATCGAAAAATTTTTCCTTCCCTCCTCCCCCCCCCCGTCGACGAACTTTCCGGGAAAAATTTTTTTAGGTCATCTTCAAAAAAAATATCGTGCAAAGGAATGGTGCAGAAAAAATTCTTGCAAGCAGTTGGGGGATGAAAGAAAATTCGTGCACAGAAAAACTGGCCAACCCCCCCCCCTCAAATATCTAATGGTCCGTCCCTAAAGAATACGGGAGAAGTATATTCTAGGAAGGATCGATTGGCAGTCAGTTACACCATAGATTAAGTATATAATTTATCTGTGGTTACAGTCGTTACACGTACAGATTTTGAACAATAAAATTGCAGTATAGCTATCATTTATAGCAGTTTACAGTTAGTTCTATATGGCGATTTCAGAACCATCCTCAGAGATACGAAAAACTAGTTTCATATTAATCTGATACTGCAATCGAGCAACGAACAATTCGTTGGCTCGAGCGGGATTTGAACTCGCATCTTCGGGTATCTAGACCGCCGCTCTACCTATTGAGCTATCGAGTCAACAGGGATTGGTAGCGAGTCTTATCCAATTTAAGTGCACGAAATATTTTTGTGACGACTTAACGCTTGTCTTAGAGGACGCACAGTACGAAAAATATGGCGAGTTAAGGCTAGTTTTCACTCAGGAAAATTACCCGTGGTTGGAACGGACAAGAAAATTTTTCTTTGTGGCAAAGTCATTAGTTCCAACCCAGAGCTCACAAGACAAAGAAAAATTTTCTTGTCCGTTCCAATCCACGGATAATTTTCCTGAGTGGAAACTAGCCTTAAGCGGCAGACATTCCAGGAACTAAAAATTAGGAAGGCTGCTCAGTGAGTTCCAAACCAAAGGCAATCTAGTTCTGGGGGAAAACTGAAAATTTTAAAAGCCTTCTGAAATGGTATTTCCCGCATTAATTTTGGGAATATGTTGTTATAAGTGATTCTATAAATTATCATAAAGTAACTTCATAAAAAGGTCAAGACAAACTATATTGCTAAAAGCAGTATGTTTACCAGATTTTTTTACGATATTTCCCGAATACTCGGGAGAATTTGATATAAATGAATTTTCGGGAGAGTAAGGCCCGTTTAACATGAGACCGAGACGAAGTATGAGACCGGGACGAAAATTACAAAATTTTCAATTTATTCCCCTTGCCAGGCAATTTTCTTTTTTAGATGTCTTTTGTTAGCATGTGTTGTTCCAATATCAAGGTTACAGCCGAGACCGGTTTGAAATGTATTTGTGTCAAATCAATGTATTTCGGCTCGATCCAGTAAGCGGAATGACTTGAGACTGGTCACATGTAAACGACGTAAACATCTGTTATAAATAATATGACCGAAACGGTCCCAGTTTGGCTTTGTTCCGGTCTCACGTAAACGGGGCCTAAGTTGGAATGTCTGTGCATGGGCAGTCTGCTGGGAGCTTACTAAAATATGTCCACTATTCGTGAAATTTTTCCTAGGATTATGTCTTTCACAGTTTTATCATAGGTCCTAAAGTTTCTGTCGTGAATTTCCATGCGAAAACTCGCATTTAACTTTCGTAGTCTTCGTATACACTCCTTGTGATAGCAGCCATGTTGCCAAAATATCATCCGGTTAATGAATAACTTTTGGACTTTCATTGTATTCGCATTGACCAATCAACTCACATTCTGAGTTGGATTCTCCCAGGGCTTTTGACAAGCAAAAAGCGCAGAAGCCCTGGGTACGAGGTTGTTCGACACATCAGTTGGAATAATTTCTCCTCTTGCAAAGTCATACTAATCCTGATATACAGAACGAAATGATTTAGCAAACATACTGTACAACATTTGGTGAATAAAATAAGACTACCTCAATAAAACACAGATAAATTTATATCGTAATAATATACAAGTAAAAATATGCTAAAAACCTACACTAAATTTAATACACTCTGCATATTTAATCCAAATTTTCTAAAATGTTCTATATAGTGAAAGAGCAATGTCATATTAACATCGATATTGTTTCATTTGAAGAGCTTCAATACCCAGATACCAGTTGCATGCATAAAAACAAAGATATAGTCGATATCTAGGACACCAAAGTTGATCTACTTCTTGTGAACATCAACGCCATGACGCAAAATATGTTGTTTTACTTGCACGTATCTAATGCGGCTGCGCAGTTTGTTTGAGATGACGCGGCAAAAATACGTCCATTCGGGCACAAGCAAACCTCCTTGGCACCGATATCACTGACAGTGTCTCCTGTTGCTACAACTGGCAAATCCTTGAATACAATCTTCTCGCCATCAAATATAAACTAAATACAAGCAATGTAAGAAATGGAATTAATCCTGAGAAATTGAATTACGAGGGACAATGACACATTCACACAAAGTCCAAGGATTTAAAGTTATGAGCATGAAGTGACACCATACACAATCCAGAACACGCACGTCAAGAGAGCTAAACTAAAAGACTATAACATTATATACCAAAAACAATTTGGTTCAAACAAGCAAAAAATGGTTGTATCACATTCATTTAAGTGTTAAGCTTGGTTCACGCTATCAGAGTTTCTGTGATCACAGTAGGAATTTTGCATGGGTAAACTCGAAGTTTTGAAGGATTTGTAATACCCTGGTTCCAGAGGTTCTTGTGCCGCCATATTATAAATTACGTAATTTGTACGACTATACGAGCGACAGCCTGTGGCAACCAGGATAGATTTACAAGTAAAAAATGTTTGAGGGAAATACTGACTCAAACATTTTTTACAAATCCTTCAAAACTTAGAATTTACCCATGCAAAATTTCTACTGTGATCACAAAAACTCTGATAGTGTAAACGAGGCTAGGCTTTGTTGAGGTCAAAGTACACCGCACCTGACAACGCATGCAGTAGTCTTGTTTCCTAGTATCCAGACTTGCACGCATCAATGTAATTCTAGTATTGGTGAAATGCACCATATTCGTACAGTAACTATATAGAAGTCTTTATAAACCTATACTACACAACAACCGTGCGAGTTTACATGATTTCAAAGCTAAAATCTAAAAATCTAGTTCTAAAAAAGCGTAAAACCTAAATTAGATTAATTAAAGTCAGTCATCTATTTAGAAAAGCACGCTTAAACAGTTCAGTCCTAACACGTGGAAGTACAAAATTATGACCACGTTTACGCAAGTTCGTCGTTCTTTTAAGCAGGTTTTTCATTGGGCGGAATTTTCTGCGCGGAGCGTGTAACTAATTAGAAGAAATATTCCGCTCCGCCTTGTGGAAAACCCGTTTTAAGTGAAAGAAGATCATATTGACAATGCTCTAGCCTGCGTAGCAGGCGCTATTTTAGGGGGGAGTTTCTTTCTCGCCCCTCCCATTTTTTCTCGCCTCGCCCCTCCCATTTTTTCTAGCTCCCTTTCTCTCCTCCCCCCTCGCTTCTCCCACCCTCGTCCTCCCCCCTAAAATAGCGCCTGCTACGCAGGCTAACAATGTTTCGAATTTTCTATCATTCATGCCCACAATTTCTCTGGTTCTAATAATATCGTTCATCGATCATGCTTTAGTTGAAACACCAAAACGTCAAGCTCGTTTGAAAAATTTATCTTTCGACAGAAGTACGTACTTTTGTCCATACTTTAGTGTAGGTACCGCCCCACACTTCCGTTGAAAAAGCGACAAAAGTCAGCGATCAAAAAGCACTGAGATCTTCTGTCAGTATGCGTAAAATGTACACATTCTTAAACTAAAATAGTTTTCCGAAGTAAGTATCCAATTGCATGGATTCTCGTTAAAAGTCACACGAAGCAACTTCGATACTAGATTACTAGTAATTAGTGATTATCTTAGATAATTAGTGACGCAACGTGGACCGCCGTGCAAATAATCACTGATTTTGATTTATATGTTCTCATTAGAAATGTATTGTAAGCTCAGTTAATAATTTTGTTCAACATACCTCATCAGAAGTGAACGATGCTGAAAACTTGCTTTTGACGAAAATGTCACCGCCTTTGGTATTAATATCAATCTTTTGAGGAGCTTCGAGATACACAGATCTTGTTGGGGAATGAAGTTCAAGATGTTTAAATGGAGGAGATCGTACATGCTCTGTTTGCACTGCACCAGTGAAGTTCACTGTACTTGCAGCGTCTACAAAATATAAACAAAAACAGCATATACAGATTACAGGATAAATTAATTTTCCGGCGGATAAAAGTTTTAAAGCAAATATTATGAGTATATTTCGAATGAAAGAGCATGGGAAAGTAATAGAAATGCAACAATTCTGTTTTTTGTACATGTATGGAGTCATCTTTTTAAATCCAATGAACATGAAAAACTCACTTTTGATAGGCTTGGTAACAGACCGACTGACCGAGGTCACTTACGGTACAGTAGCTAATAAAAGCTTAATTACACTATTTTGCAAGTTACAGTTAGTGTAACATGTTTTATCATTTATGTTTCTCTAGTTCCAGTAATGTAAGTTACCACTGGTACATGCAGCCTAACTTAATTTAACCACTGCCTTGTAAAGATATTGCTTCTGTAACTACATCCTTGAAGTACGGTAGCCAATACTTACTTGCGAATCTCAGTTTGTCGTATCCAAAGCGAACCACATTTTTGTCCGCATACAGAAGCTCTTTTCCATCATTGGAATGAACTCTGAAAACTTTTTGTTTTGCAACAATTTCATCATTTCCAACAAACAGTTGGGAAACAGTATGACCACTCTCATTTCTAGCGTTAATTGAAACATTTGCTGTTGATTGGACAACCATTTCTTTATCCTAAATGTACCAATTTAATTGTTGGTAAATTTTGGTACAACACTCACACAACAAAAATATATCACAGCTTAGCTTTAGGGAAAATGAAGTCATTCATAGTTAAAATGAAAATTATTATGTTGGGTTGCTGTGATGCAGGCATAGAAATAATAAAATATGTACTTGATCACAAACATGTCTCCATTTTTTCTCAAGCGTGCCCTTAAACCTGCCATTAAATTTGTAATATACAATACCTTTCTTGTTTCAATTGATTCTGCATAGAGTGGCTTAATAAATTCTGCATTCCCTTGCAATAGAACTCCTTTATTTGTTATTTTCAGTTTCCCCATACCATCCTATTAAAAAAAGAATTAGACTAGTCCTAATTTATGCAGTTACAAAGAAATGGTCACAGAATAAATAGCGCAACAATATGACGATGGTCAGTGACCATACCTCTAAGTGCCAGGCTCTACAGAGGGCAAGATAGCAACCACATGTTCACTACAGTTTACAGTTTACACTCTGTCTAACCCAGGGAATTCTTTTCCTGTGTACAATTATCTTTTCAAAATTTTTTTGCTTGTTTATTTATTTTCCAAAAAGTGTTGGCGAGGGGGGGGGGGGTGTGATTTTTCTAGGAATAAAAAAAAAATTTTCAGGGCATAAAAAAGGGTCAAAAAAATTTTTCTGGACTAACATCAATTTAGTTAAGGTTTAAAACACATTTTCCCTGACAAATTCTTCTTAAAACATGATTGATTTTTGCAGGGGGGGCAGATTTTTCCAGGAATAAAAGAAAAATTTTCAGGGCATAAAAAAGGGTCAAAAAAAATTTTCTGGACTAACATCAATTTAGTTAAGGTTTAAAACACATTTTCCCTGACAAATTCTTCTTAAAACATGATTGATTTTTGCACCAATATCTGCTACATTTAGGTTTAGAAAATTTTTTCTCACACCATTACTTATATAAAAGAACACCATTTTTTTATTTTCCAAATTTGGAGGCCACTCTTACAATGTACCTCTGATAGGCCCTGTCAACTTATAATTTTCCCTTCTGGTGCACAATTTTTTTTTTTCTGTTTCCCCTGCTTGATTTTTATTTTTGCTTTTTGCGCATCCTTTGCTAATGGTCCGCCCCTAACCAATAAATCTACCAATGCACATACAGTATATTAACCCCTTAAATTACAATGCACCTTCATGCATCTTATCTTGTTATTTATATATGCACCCTGATGCACCTATCTACAGTATATTATTTATACTCAGTTAAACGCCAGATGTTTTTACTTGTCAAGGGGAAAGTGCTGCCACTTAATGGATTAAAGCAACAAATTTAAAATGATCTAATTTTGTATAAGATGCTATATTTCTTACCAGATTGAAGTTCATAACATGCATAATCCAAATTGTAAGTGCCAGGTTAATAATTGTAATGACAGTTATGATGAGAATGAGTAGATAAAGACACCTTTTCCTCCAGCCATATATACCAATTTTATAAATAATGTTTACAGGATCATGACGTGCATAGTCAATGTCATCATTTGATTGCTGGTTTGTGTCTTGCCGCCTCGACATGTTTTTTCAATTGACTGGTGCTGAAAAAAGACAACAGTCAGACTATACAGCAAGACAAACTTTCTTAGACCTGGTTTAGACAGTGAACTTTTCATGCATCAAACCTAATGCATAATTTTTTTAACATACATTATTATATGATTTTGATATGTTAGCAATTTCAATAGTGTACTGACTGTACTCGTATTTTGGCATGGTACAATTAAGTCCATTGTCTATATCAGTTACCAAACTTGTGCTGTATTTAATTTGATTAGGTTTGGCACAAGTTTGCTGTCTAAACCAAGCTTCATCTTGATTATCTGTTGATGCATATCAATACAGTATGCCCCTAGAAAAACTATAAATATTAAATCGCATAATAGAAAATTTATACAGTATACAGTAATAACAGTATACAAGATATTTGAGTTTCTTCAGTTAGAGTAGAAAATGATTCAAATAATTTACTTGCATGAATAGCATATTTTAACTACAAGAGAGATATATTTATTATTTATATTATATTAATACCTTGTACCTTATTAACTTCTACAATGATCAGCCAGTTGTTCTGTGAAGCAGTGTGAGAAAGAGTAAAGCTAAACTAAGCCTTCACTTAAGAGCAGCACTTAACTCCAATCTCATAATCATTGTTATGCATGCATGATTTTCCTGTTGAAATTATTCAATATTGAAATATTGTTTTCATCAATTCATTCCAACTTCTCCTTGATATTTGATTATACTGTATATATAGTTGACATGCATAGCATAATATTACGCGCAGAAACGAATAATTGTTATGTATGATTCAATAAAGAGAAACAACACAATCACATTTAAAATTGTCTATTTGAATTGACAGTTTCAGATTGAATTGATGATAGCAGGGCATTTTACACATATTCTAGTCTGTCTCCTAAAGATGCTATATACCATTGTATAAGAATCCATGAGAAAGGAAATAATTATATTTCAAAACTTCACAGAACAATTAGATCTATTACAAACCCGATATTGGGATATGTTGAGCATTAATTCACTCACACTTAATAATCTTTAATAACCTTTTGAGCATTGTAAACATTGATACGCTTGCTTTGCCACACGAAGACACAACAATTCATCGACAAGCAATGCGTTTATATAAAACCTCAACTAAACTCACACTTTTTCCTTATCTTATGTTGTCTGAAGTTGTATTTTGTCGACCAACACAACAGTGCTTTAGAAATAAACAGTAGGGAACGATATCGAGTTAACATGCACAGACCAGCAATCTCAAAATTGTCAAGTACATTTTCTCATTTTCGTCTCCAAAATGTGTGTTGTGTTTTCATCAAAGGAGAGATGTAAAAAAGTCGAAGAACAGCAACACTAAAACCACAAGTAATCCCTTTTAACAGCTTCCCTAACGGTAATAACACAAACAGCAATCATGCGAACAATCCATTGAGTCACAATCTTTCCCGTGTACATTTTTGTGCTAATAATTTGCGACTTTTAGCATCATAATTTGATACACAGCTCTGCCACTGTGGCTCTGTTGTGAGTATTAGAAAAAACGGGCTTACCTGATGGATGCAAGCGTCCTAACACTCTTCTGAAGTGTGCTATCGTATGAGAAGTTTAAATTCCAATCATTCGGCACAAAAATACCTCAAAGGCGACCAAGATCAACAGATCGAATCCGATTATCATAATTTACATAACAACACCCAGACCGCTAAGTACTTCATCTTGCACGGATATTTTGGATCCGTAATCATGGCCTCTTCTGTGTCATGGCTTTGTGGTTAAACGGGGCCACGGGCACAGGGCAGCGCGGGGGTTTAGGTTTATATTAATAGCTTTATTGGCATGACCTTAAATTACAGGTATTGCTAAAGCATAATAATCTAAATACACATAATCTAAATACAGAGTATAAAATGTAGAAATTCTAAGTTCTTTCTACAAGTGGTAAGAATGGGATTGGGATTGACTATAGAGTATAGTCAATCCCAATAACAAATAACAAATACCAAATTGGCAAATGAAATGCCTCATTATCTATTGATTCTAATGCGTTCGGCACATGAGAAGCACGACGTTTGAAACAGGCATAAGGCTAAGAAGATCTATTTATACAAGATGTATAGGAAACGTTTTCATTTAACTTTCTCAAATTTATAGAGAAATAGTAGTTTTAATTTAGTTGACAGCAATCCCAATATCAAGGCATCTATTATATTTCTTTAAGAAATATATTTCGACAGATAAAATAATCCCATGTTCTGTAGATTTCATTATATCTACTAATTGTGTTTGTTCTGCGACAATGGTGAAATTGTTTCTGAGAGTGGTGTAAAAGTTCTCTCTTTTGGTTGATGTAGGCTTAACACGAATTGGCAGGCCCACTTCCCCTGACTGGCTGATTTTTAAACACAGTCGTTCTTCCTAACTCTATCATTAAATTGTGCTTGCATGCTCATTCGGCTAAATCTTGCGAGTGTTTTTCGTTCAGCTAGATTTTTATTGTTAAATGATATTTTTCTAGCTGGTATTCTGCTTTGAATGTATTGTAAAACTTAAGTTTGGAGGAATTTTCGAGTTTGTGTTTCCAGAAAGTAATATATTTTTCATGTGCTAATTGATGTTGTCATTGATAAAGCTTATAGCGTTTGAATCGTGATTGTTTCCAGATCAGTATTATTTGTGTGTTGCAGTTGTAGGATTTTAGAATATCCATAATATTTCCGTAAAATTAACGAGGTAATTATTTTGGAGTATAAATCTTTTGAGATAACTCGGGAAAGTTTGTTTGGCAATTGTTTCTTCAGATATACCCTGGTTCCATCGTGTTTTCCTCACAACACCTAAGTACAGTTTGCAAAATCTCAAGTCTCAATCTGAGAGTTATCCGGCCAATTGCTAGCCAATTGTTGAAGTCCAGGGGCGGATCTAGGGGTAGTCAGATTAGTCACGCGACTAACGTAAAAAAAAGGCATATAAAAAAATTTGGACTAAGGTTTTTGAATTTTTTCCCAGCGCAAACACTTCTCTTCATTTCTGATCACGCAATCAAACTCTATCATACTCCAGCATATAAACTTCGATCAGTTTTTGCACATTGA